AAAACATAATATGGATAAATTATAAGCTTATATAATAATTTTGTTATGACAAAAATGATAACACAACAACTATAAAAAGACCAATTTACGTTCGGTACATCTAGCGAAGTATTGGATCCCCAAGGGCCCTCATTCCACCATTGAAGAAACTCTGGCAGCTCTTCTGTAGAGGTTATGCAGCAAGTTAAATTATTATTACTGATCTAGTATTTAAAGTTCGGAGCAGTAAAAACACATTATTTACTTCACTCACCCATCTAAAGTTTGAAAACTTTTAAATTATATATTAACTATAATCAACAATTATTTCAAAACTCTATTTAATATATCAACATTCCCAGAAAAGTAATGTGCTTTTTAATAATRATTTAAAATCAAATGTTGTTTTTCAAAAAACAATAACTTAAAAAAGCAGGAAAGTGAATATCGCTCTGCTGTACAGTAGGTTACAAGTGGGTTACTGTAATGCATTGAATTAAATTTGAATCCAATGATATTATATTATAGTATATACGAAAAATGATTTTGAGCGGAGACGGTTTATCTGTCTAGGATATATTATAGAATATTATTATTTATTATTAATACTTATTAAAATATTTGACTTTCCAATGGACATTTTTTTTTTTTTGATAAATATAGACTTAAAATTAAAAAGAAAAATTGTTATGAAGTTCTATCTAAGAATATTTTAATAAAATAAAACAATAATGAATAATTTTCACGTATTTAGTAAAAATTTGAACTTTAAATGCTTATAAAAAAAAATCGTGCTATATGTATTTTTAATATTTTTCAACTGCTATTGTAATAATATGATGGAAGCCTTGTGTTAAATTTTGAAGCTTTTTGACCCAACAAATAMATTTTTATTGATATTAATTACAAAAAAACTAACAATGATAGAAAATTTCATATGCCTTATAAATAGTTCAACTTAAGTCGACATTTTTTGAAAATTGTATGGTGGATAGAATATACTTATATAAACATTCGGTAAAAATGTCATGTATATTATGGTCATTTGTTTTAAAGTAACATCAAAAACCAAAATCGATTTTGTCGAAAACTGCAGATTGTGCGTAAAATTTCCCGGTTTTCCCTTAGTTTTGATTTGTTTATCCCGATTATTCAGAAAAATCCCCTCCCCCCATTACCAACTAGATTCACTTTCTGATCTAACAAGGTACTGAAGTCGAAAATCGAAGCATTTTTACTGCCCCAAAACGTGATGACAGACACAAAAAAAAAACAATAAAAAAAAAACAGGCATCATGGTAAAATCAATACATTCCTCGCTCCACTCAGAATCTAAAATAATTACGACAAACAATAGTAAAAAAAAAAATAAAAATAAACATCGTTTCGTAATTATTTTAAATTATTTGTAGGTACTGTAACTATTATTAATAAAACAAAACCCAAGCGATTTCGACACGCCCCATAATGTTCGATCCGGTTAGCACGCCGATGGTCACATACATTATACAATACAGTAATAATAGTAATAACACTTTGGCAGTGTATTGTATGTGTATTGAGCTCGTCTGAATAGAATATTGTTTTTTAATCACTTTACTGCTATATAYAATAGATATTATGTTGCATACGGTCGCCGACTGACGATAACTTTACTGACAATCGATGAAATGTAAAGCAAACCATATATTTTTATCTCCGCCTCCGATGCATACATACACATATATATATATATTATATATTAAATGCAATGAGTCATTGTAAGTGTACAATAAATATTTGAAAATAAATATATTATACGTATAATATACATATCACAATAACTGCGTAGGTATATTTTCGTTACGAGGTGTTATTTTATTTTTTTTTGTTCTCTACTATATGAAACACAGGTGAAATTAATCATTATTAATTATGGTATAGGCCAATCAAACATAGATAATTCGCAACCGCCTACAAAATACCACTACAATACTGGCAGCCACTGATGCTATTATATATATGTATATATATTATTATGTGCCAATAATAATAATAATTATAATATTAATAATAATTAAAATTTGCCAAAATCTGCAGAAATCTGCATACCGCAATAAACACATGCGGAACTTTAAAAATTAGCATAATACAATAAATATATGTCGAAACGTACACTGCTGTTTTTGAAACGTTTAACTATACTTCCACGCGGAGTATATATATATATATATATGTAATTATATTAAAGCATGTTTCGTCCGTTGAGTGCCAGGTCATTATATAACAATATGCATAACAAATAAAAACTAATCGTTAGAAAAACGGTGAACTATAATTTACACGCAGCATAGAGTGATGAAGTCTCATTTTCCACTGCATAGTAATCATCTCGTGCATGATTCATGTTATATTTCCACCCTCTTTACGCGTGTTTGAGGGTCGACCTAACCGAGGTCTATTCATTTGACAAGAGCTTTGGATATGTTTAACACAACAGTTACGGTTTTCATTTAACAAATTGTTACCGTGATGGTTCAAGCGTAGTAATACGGTTTTAAGTGAACTCTTCGTTCGTCAGAAAGAAACGTACCTATCGCATATATATATTTACACTCGTCATTTATAACATATAGAGAAAAAAAATCGTAATTTTAACGAAAATCGTAGATGATGACGGCGATGCCTCGTCGTCGCGTCCTAAAATATGATGCTCAAAGGTTAATATAAATATTAAATACATGTATTTGGTGGAAAATAATTTATGCTTGACGCTTGGCCACTTAATTTATTCCATATTATAACGACTTGATCACGTACGCGAGTTCGGCCGTTCGGCAAACATACGGTGCTGAACATGTGCAAATAATGTATAATATTAGGATATCGTTATGGGCTCTTAATCATGAAACTCTAAGAAAAGATGACCATGTCATATACAAACGGTAAATAAGGGTAAAGCTATTTTTTAATTTTTTTTTTACCAACAATAAGTCCTTAACATTCATTAATATCATTGAGTATAGATAGTATAAACTATCTATACTCAATGTTAATATGTAAGGAAAAACGATTGTTGGTATTATGATAAAAAGAATTTTCGCATTCGGATTGATTATTTTTTAACAGCAAACGATCATTGTTATATTAGTAAATTATCTAATTCTAATTTCTAACGTTTTACATAATCCTTGTACGAATCCTTTTTATAAAGACATTTCTAAGGATGATTGAAGATCTTATCGTGGTTAATAATTGTATTTTGATATAATACAATGAAAATTATAATTTATAAACTTGTACAATATCGAAAATGAATAAATAAGCCCTATTAGTTAGCCACAGATTCTAATATAATTTTTATTATATTTTCTATTGTGTTTAATAGATGTTATAAATTATGTACCAATAGAGAAGAAAACGCAATTTCAAGAATTTTAGTGAACCACGGATAACTTGCACTCTGCATCTATCCATTTTATTTAGTACGGTCTCATCATGACCAAAACACAAACATCAGTTTTATGTTAAATGTTTGCCCTCCAATTCATAAAAAAAATCACTCGAAGAACGTACCAGAATAACAATGTTGTTTTGCACACACAACGTATGATATATAGCCCATACTCGTACACGCATAAAGTAATTATTACTTAACAGCTGGAAAATTTTAACTGCAGTGAAGCGATATACGTATTGGTTTAGATGACCCATCACAGACTTGAAGACTCGTAAAAATCGTAAAAATCCGTAATCCCGACAAATATATTAAACGACGCAAACTGTTCTATTATTATGTATATTATATATATATGAATAAACGGTCGCCGTACAACAAAAGCCTGACGATTATCTCGATTATCGGATTAAACTCAAATGTGGCGAGAGGCTTTTGCACACGCGAAATCACAAAATACTTTACCGAGAGTTCAAAATATCCCGGTTTGTTTGCTTGCGATGGAGTTCATTGTATTATAATTGGAAATAAAACACAATTTTATTCCCCGTCCCCAGATGATAATAGCCATTATATTACATTATACATATATTGTTTTCAATTTACGATTGAATCGCATTAGCCACGAGTATAAATCCTCATCCGGATTCCAACGCACGAGAGGGAATGATGGAGAGAGATAGAGGAAAATTAATTCATTCGCATCACGCGTGGAACACCGCAAACGTCGTCGACGGAATTTGTTACGAAACCAACGGCGGAAAGGAAAACCAAAGCGAGAAAACAGCGTCGTCGTGTATTAAACGATATTATGATGACAATATAACCACTGCAGATGGCGTATGGAAAACGACGATCATCCAGCCTTTTTTACAGCAATAAAATTTGATTATAACGAATTTACAAGATATTCCCTGCAAAACACGCAAGGAMCAGCCGTAGAACATAATATATAGGTATAAATCACCGCAAATAATATTATATAAAATGCTTTCTCGTCGTTTTCTCTCCCTCCACCAAATTAACACACAAAAATTGACATTAAGCGTGATGAGTGATGAGAATATTATAAATTATTTATRAATACATAAGTAGCCATCGGTTTGCAGGGTATCATATAATAATATATAAATCATAAATAAGCCTGCARCAAAGTGTATATTGGCTGTGCCATATCATGCCCGACTCTTCATCGTCAGGTGAGTACCTATATMACCAATATTTGAAGCTTACGATCGTGATTATACAAACTAAAATATTATTTTTTTTTTACCATTTGGATTCCTGCAATGACCCTACCACGTTTAGCGATGCGTATCGTGCACAATATGTATACAATATAATCAAGCGAAAGAGCAAAAGAATAGAATAGACGTTATATATTATACATTATTAAATCTACGAAGGCAAAATATAATAATATATCAATTAAATAAATGTCACAAACACCATGCACAACACACCACTATATAATACTATACTATTATAATAATAACAATTTTGCACAAAATAGAAATAATAACTATTATACAAATCAAATRAGAGGGAGTGCACAAAAGTTCAAGGGTCTATATAATGTCTATACCTGAGTGATATCGTTTCTCATTATGAGTGACACGTCTTTGCGTGCGCCTGGTGCGATGTTGATGATGTTGATGCTGCTGGGAAGACGGCTGTTTACTGTTCGAAGCCGATGGGGGGCCGGCTGTAAAGTATACACAACACACACACTTGGTTCAGCACATTCAATATACTCACAAAATATTTTACACTAATATAATATAATATAATATAATATATATATATATATAGGTCATAGATATACAGTAAAATTAATACTAATAACATAATATTATCTTACATAATAGGTGAAAATCAAGGACTTCATGTCTTCCCTTTGTATATACAATATTATATTACAAACTATTTTAATAGGTATTTATATATATACAAGTACACAAAAATATGTTATATGGTAAGTTTTAACGTTATATACCTACCCAGTCAAAAAACACGACGCAATCAAGTACGTCAATAATTTAGTATACATATAAATATTATATATACCTAACTCTGAGTATGTATAACAATTTATCGTGACTAAATTAAGTTTTTTAATTATTTTGGATTTACAGAAATTACAGGATCCACAAGGACAAAAACGTTTAATAGACTATAGGTACCTACTTACTCTCTGTAATCATATTTCCCAAGAATTGGATCGATTGGATAATTTGCAATAATATGATGTATCAAACATTATAATAACATCAAATTATTTTCGTTACATCTGTAGAGTGCTCGAATTGCTTAATATTGTTTTTTTTTTTTTTTTGGCTTATTGAAACATTCTATTTGAAACGAAACGAAGTATACTTGCGTCCTTTAGATCAAAACTTGTGTATTAAATTCAATATAATTGGGTGATAAACTTAAACATAGCAAGGTCAAGTGTTTTAAACTGTTGACTAGTATATATATATTAGGGTTTATATTAAGTGGGAATAAGTAAGTTGTGAGTTTTTAAGTCTCGTAAATTTTGAGTGTAATAACTACAAACGCGTATATTTAAACAYCTACAGACGAAGATAAATAAAATTGAACTTAAAYTTATTTTTAATTTATTTAAAAGGTTTTATAAATCGATTTAATTCAACGAGACATTGCAATATCATCAAAAGATTCTTACTTAATTATTCACATTACTGACTTTTCTTACTTTCAAATTTAATTACTTACTCGTTATTGGTTATTAAAAGAAATATAATAACACTAAATTATAATAAAATACACTAACAACTAAGAAATGGTTTCAAATAAACATAAAAGTAAATAAACATATTCCAATTAAAATGAAGCGCTGATGGAWTTTCGTTATCATTTCCTTTAAAATAAAGTACAAAGTAGGTCAAWTGTCGCAAGGGAAAATGCACACAGAAATAAGTGACTTTCAGCAAACAGAATTCAGGATAATTTGATAAATTTATCAAAACTGGGGTAAGGACATCGAGTTAATGAATTTTTTGCTAAATRCTTGTACCTATATGTTTGTTRAATGATTACGTAATAAAAAAATACAAATAATTTTCCCATGATAGATTCAGTTAATTAGACATTTATAAATTTATACAAAATTAAATGTATAAAAAAAAATTGGTTAAGAATGTAATTATTTGCTAGGAATACATAACTAAATCATTGTTTAATGATGTAATTTAAAATGATAGTATTTATACGTACATGTAGTTTTACTGGCAAATAGACATGTTTAATTTGTAAGTAGGTGCGGTAATAAAACGTGTAGATAATATCTATGGACTCTATTATGACTGGTACAACCTACGACCAAAACTATATTTTTCTAGTTTAAGATATATTACCTCAGAACCCGCCTACTATTCAATTTTTATTTGACTTAACGATAAACATAAAACTTAATACTAATGCATTTTTAATATTATAGACATTTAGTACATTTTAAAATGTGTATACTGTACGCGGTTTATTCATCGTCTATCGTTGACCCGATATAATTGTCTGGCGTACATACCACAGTTTTAAAAAAAACCTACCTACCTACCTAATTGCATATATTCTATGCATAAAATATATATTACGCACCATGTCGACCAAAAAATATATTTATAATCTAAGGAAATCAATTTATAATTAACTATATATATTTGAGCTACACCACATATTATATTATTATTAATAACTAATYTTGGTCAATATTAAGTAACACGCACAAAATTAAAAAATATTAATCTAGATTTATAAAGGATTTAAATAGTATACCTACCCACTTTGGGCATGGGCACAAAAAAAAAAAATTTGCAACAAATATTTAGAAAATAAATATTATTATTTAAATATATTAAATGAAAAAATATATGATAAATATCTGCGAAACGGTTATTATAAAATGTGATTAATGCGAAATATAAATTGATATAACCACTGGTGAAAAACTATTCTAAATATATATTTGGTTAGTACAATGTTATGCTTATTGAAACGTACATGGAAACTAAGCTAAATAGGTACTTTTCAGTTTTATCATTGGAATAAAATTAACTTTTTCTAGACTAATATATTTTGTAGGACAATAGATTTATTGACCTTATACCCTTTGAGGTCTATCCTTTGTTTTGCGATTTTTTTTTAAAGTACGGCCATTTAAGTTAGGACATTTTAATACATCTAACGGTCTAACCGTAAAAAACGGCTGACAATAGAGAAGCCTTAATGAAATCGGAAACAAAATGCGTATTATGAAAAAACGAATAGGAAGAGAGAAGATTAAATGTTTTAAGATTTATGTTGTAGACCAAAAACTGTATATCGATTAGGTCGTTAGAAGACCTGATAAAACTGATAAAAAAAAATAGCTAACGACTACAAACCTTGGGGCTGCTTAGGAGCATAAGGAGCCAAAAGTCTTGTCTTCTTTTTCTCGTATCCTTTTTGTGTAATATCACCTGAAACAAAAAAACACATTTTTTTATTAATACTTGAATCTTTTTAATCGTTATTGAGTTATAATTAAAATTCTGATTAATGAATGATTAAAGAATTGTTTGAAATATTCAAGTACCTATTCCACAAACGAAATAACAGTACTGTAATTTGACTAAAATCAATTAACTTTTCAAAAACAGTATATTACACATAATATAATAATTTTGTATAAATAATATATATATATATATATATGTATAAATAACATAAATCTTAATTTCTATGTGAGAAACATCAAAGTATTAATAAGTAATTTTTGAAGAAGCTTTTAAATATTTTCGGCAGTTTAATTTTAGTTAAATTTTTAAACAATTTTTTTCAACGGGGGTTAAACGACATTCCAATAGCTAATTTAAAATACATAAAAACGTAAACATTTTACAAAATTATAATTTCCACATAAGATTATTAGGAAAGCAGTTAGTCATGTGTAACATTTTAAAAATAACGAATTCGAATTTTAAAATGGTAGACGTTGTATTGTCATTAGTATATGTTTTATGCTTTAAACTTAACACTGGAAATTTATATAATATAATTTTAAGTTAAATATTGAAAAATATTTGTGAACTTTATGGCAAGCTTCGAGAGAAATAATATTAACTTATAATTTTGTAGAATCTAACTTACATTAAAACGATAAACTTATTTTAAGACAGAACGGATGGTTACTAAGTGTAAAGTTAGTTGTAGTTAATGTTACTAGGATAGTATAGATAATAATTAGTTCAGGTGAATAAAAATATAACTCAATATTAATTATCAAAAYGTTAAAGTTCGAAATAACAATTAGTTTTCGTTTTAAATGAATAGTAAAATCGATATAAACAGAAACCAAACAAGTTTGAATGAAATAATATCTTGGAAAATAGCTAAGAAAATAAATGTATTTTAKTTTTCGCATTTATAGTTTTTATATCCATTAAATTATCTTTTTAAAACTATATTAAAATGTAAACAAAAAATACATAATGAACAAGCAAACAAAAGAAATACTAAATTATAATGTTTTATTCAACATGGCTTTTTAATCTAGGTATTTTTAAAGATATGTTCACTGCGAGTGTACATAAACACGATTATCGGATAAATAAAATGCATAACCATTACGCCGGATCGCACAAACGAGTTGAACGGGATAGAATATTTAACAGTTCCCCAACATCAACTCCCATGATGATCTGTACCATACACATACATGCATATTTAAATATTATATAATTTTATACGTTTATAAAATTTCCGCGACACAAATAAGTCGTTAAATTTATCAAATTTCTATACGATTCCTGTGGACATATAATATTATCATTGTAATAAAATATTAAATACAATAAACATATAGCACAAATGCATACTATAATACGATATAAATAATGTATACAGCGCAACATACTAAATTTAAATAATTCAACAGAACGACGGGGAATATATTTTTTCGTCTGAATAAACAACCTAAATACATATAACAATATATATATTAAGCCCCCCGGAAAACCGGTAGAGACTAAACCATTTCTTTAATAAAAGTATCAAACTATTACACATATTATAAAAGTAATAAATCGTAGATAGCAAATGCGTGGCATATATATATATATATATAGATGGGATTATAAGTGTGCATATATAGAAACAACCAACCAAGTTACAATATCTCTATATGTATATTGCAATATTTCGTCCTTCTAGCTCGATTTTACGCGCGCGCACACACACACACACACGTCATGAATTGTCGTGCATTTTACATAAAGCTACATAATATATTATGCGTATCTGTATGATTATATTTTATCACGACAACAAACGAATACACACATCCGTATCGACTGTTTTTCTCGAAATCGGGCCAAAGCGCTGCGCTTCAACGTGATCGAATGAATGGTAGATAAATGTAGGTATATAATATATAATATATATGGCTGTGACATCATTTATAATCACAAATCGCCTGCACCACCATGTGTTGACAGATATTCACTTATACGCGAGGGGGTAAAACGTGCAATGTCAGCCCCGCGTCACGTCGCGCCGACCCGCCGGCGGACCAGCGGACACGAAAAGCCTATTTTCCCGAGAGTCGAATACCGTTCAGCCGGCTCGGATCGAAAACAGACAGTAAAAAAAATTGGTAGTCTCGCCTGAGAGCACACACACACACACACACACGGTATATAAACGTAAGTATATATATATATATATATGTATCATCGGACGAAAGCACATAATAATAAAATAATAATGCCCCATGTCCAGTATGTGCAGTACAATATAATAGAATAAATATATCAACGACACGCGCGGATTCGACACGATGACACAATTTCAATATATATTTTACTCGTAAATATATTGCACACATTGTGTCATGTCCTCCCTGCGACAATATTATATAATTTACACTATCCATCTCTGTTCTTTCCGTCCCATACAGGCCTACATATGTATATTTAATATACATATTTATATATATGTAAATCCGCCATTCTCAATGACTGTGYACGAAATACGGTTAGGTGCCTTATAATATTATTACATATTATACAGTTGTTATCTATATCGGGCGACATTTTGATTTATGACACGCGGGCGCAAGTCGGCAGTCGACCACCTCATATTATCGAGCGATTATATATACAACGATACATGGCAAAATATAACAACGCAGCTTTACGAAAAAAATAATATATATATATATATAATATGATGCATAAAAATAGCATGTGTGACTTGCGAGTAACGATAAGGAGCAACATTAGATTATACGAGAGAGTGTCGACATGATGCCACACTACTCGTTTACAATTAAAATGTCGTTTGTTAACGATATTTAACATTTTTCACCATATATATAAATATATACAAATGGGCAATATACATTATTATAGATTATATATATATTATATGCATACTCGTAATATTGTGTATGTTGGCTGACTTCTCTCTTTCCTGGCCCTCGTTCAAACCAGACATGTACCTACATCTCCCCACTAGGTTCTCTTGCTTTCCTCTTCTCCTGTTTTCTGATACGCATATATATATATATATATATATATATATACAGAGCAACGGTGATGCGGATGTTGGTCGTGGTGGAAAACCAGACGTTCACACCGAGTTTTATTATTGTAAAATGTAATATAAAGCAGATGATATTAGCACGTGTAAAACATTGTCGGAGCGACTGCTGCTGCACCTAATCGAAACAACACCGAAAGCTAAATTGCGACTACCAGCAGGACAATCGCTTAATATGTTGTGTTTTGCGCAAATGTTTGTACAATTGTGCTGGTGTATGTGTGTGTGTGTGCGCGAGTGTAAATGAACGACGAATATTTGGACAAGGACCAACATGTCGTGTACAATACTACTCTATTGTCTCGCTGTTGCATAGTGGTGGAACGCAAAATGACATATGATGGAATAATTTCAGGGTGGATATATATATATATACAATAAGCGGATAAAGAGTGCGACACGAAGTTCGCACAGAGGATAATTGCTGATAGACACAAAAAAGGGTGGAAATCCCTCGCGATCTCTGCCAGTAAAACATAATATTGGTGTAATAATATACGAGCGTTTTTGTGAGTTAGTGTGGGTGTGCATGCATTACATGCGTGAATTTCAAACGGATTTTCGTGATGAGTCACAGACATGCACAGTGTAAACTGTAAATAGAACGACAACAGCGACATATTTATTATTACATTATCATATCATCTGCAGTATAATAATATCGTATATGTGACACGAATAACTAATTGGTCGCGACGAKGAATCGAAACACAMATCACCTATTATATTACACGTATGGCTTTCGTCAAACGCGAGTCTATTGTTTTAATTTACGAAACGTTTAACTCACGTCGAGCCAAAATCTRTACCCGCCGCCGCTTGAGTGTTCAATCATGTTCATCTTCCATTAGCGGTATAGGAGTATAACATGTATATAGGTCTTTTATATAATATATATAATTATTAAAATCAAATTGTAATTTGTATGCATAGTATTATACTAATACCCGATAAACAATAATAAAACTATACAACAGGTGTGCGCGGTTGGCGTAGACGATACCAAAATGCCGAAGTCATCTCGGCGCAGTATCTCCGAGTATAATATAATAGTATTATAGCATAAAGTGTTGGGTAGGCATTTTGTCTGCTGCGCAATAAACGTTGGTTTACGATTTAATGAAAACAGACTGAACGAGACACGACTGCTGCGACGTAAGTATATCCAACGAGATTTTATAGCTCTTSGCAGCCGTATACGTATATAATGTAAATACACAGAAGAGCTTGTGTTTCATTTATACGAGTAAGTTCGTCTAATATGTAGAAAAGTGTCTATTGAACATACATATTATTATATTGCAAACAAGACAGATATATTTTAGTTTGTGAGCGGTTTTAACTATAATGTCTAAATAATGTGCATTGACGATCGATTAATCGTATTATATAAATGTATGTTTTCAGTAAAGCGAACAACATGTGTAACGAACCATATACATAGGCCGACTGCATCTGTAGGGAAGAGATTTACTCAGTGAGTTTAATAGTAGATGATATATGTATACCAAGTGTTTGATAGCAATAATCATAAAAACAAATATTCCAAACACCTGTAAGCAATCTAATTTTATATGTAGATAAGATTCTCTGTATCGCAGTTTTCTTGTTTTCACATTTATTGGCCTGCAATTTTGAAACACGTRTACTCGGAAAATGAGGGGTATGAAGTATACATATATATTCCATCCTGATAATAATCACGTGACTTAAGATCCGAATTTCCGATATTTGTATACATATATATTATAGCAAAAGCGTAAACAGTTTAAAGTGTTGCAATAACATAATTGGGTCAACCAAAAGTTACAAAGCGTAGCCGCGTAGGTACGCGAATCACAGAATAATACTACAACATAATTTGAGATTTAAAACGCAC